CCCCCCTCCTCCACCCCAACCACCCGCCCCACCTACCCCATTTTCTTGCTACACCAAACTTAGGGCGCCAAGTCCGCTAGCCCTAAATTAGCATTAAGGGGGGGACTGCACCTGAGGGCTATCTCGCTCATTAGTGGATCAAATTTTACCAATAAATGTCACACACACCATAATAATTAAAGGAGTCTTAAAATCCGCAATTAAATTTGGGAAAAAAGTTTCATGTCCATGGATACGGCGACCATATTGAATTTTGTTGACATGATTACGTAATGAATACCGCACTTATTTTTCATGGAAATATATTGGGGTTTTTTGCATGCGTGTTAGCAAACATTATATCTAGATCTAGATCTACAAATGTGTCTGTTGAATTTTTCCAAATGAATTTATTTTTATAACGCGCGAGAATCCACAAAAGTGCTCCGTGGCGCTTACAAAACACACACGCACAATTGAATTTTTTTTCTGAGGTAACAACACAAAAGTTTGCAAAAAATCCGTGAAAATCCACATACACCTACCAGATATCACGAATAAAAGTATATTCCATTATATCAAAAATTCAAGAGACAAATTTTGAGTATTTCATATTTTCCTAATTCTGTGAAAATGTCTTGCAGATTGGATGAAAAATGGTGGAGTTATTAAAAGAAAGTATACAGAAAAAACACGTGTTGAGAAAATGGGCGAAAAGAAAGATAAAAGATTGACTTTATCAGGAGACGATTGTTTATGAAGTAACGCTTTCTGATGCGATATTGCATCCCGTCCTTATAATTTATTTTCCCCACTACTCTTTTATCAGACCTCATGGTGGTTGTTAAACAAGACACAATTCGACTACACTCTGTGTCAAAACATAAGCCTCCACAAACTTGTCAAATTGAAAACATGCTAAGACACCACAGTATCACATGTACTGTTTTTTTCGGGCTGTTTTTCCAATTATAAGTGCAGAAAAGTCAATTACACAGATTGTACATTAAAGTCTTGGTTTTTACTTTAGAAACGGGCAAATTTATTCCTACGAAGCTAGTCTCTAAAGAACGTTTCATCAGGGAAAAGTCTCCAACTCAGTATTATTATTATTATGTTCGTGCGATGTACTTAGAACCACGTTTTGTCAGTCCTATATATCTTTCATGGTTGGATACGACGCATGGGCTCCTTTGGGATTCTGTATCTACGCCATTACTGTTTGGTGGACCTTTCTGTAAATTTTGGGTCTGTGACATCTAGGCGACTGATTCCATTGCCTTCTCTTTCTTCAGCCTATAGATGAGGGTGCTTGTATTAGCTTGCCGGGATGACGTCTGTTGAGTTTATTAGCATTCATTGTCTGTCGTCTGTCGAGAATAGCGATTTCAACTCAAACATCGGCCGCCACCATAGATGTACACTATAGGCACATGGGAAATTCACACACACACACACACACACACACACACACGCGCGCGCGCGCGCACGCACACCCACATACACGCACACACACAC